TGTAGGAAGAATTACATCTAGAGGGCTTAGAGGGAAGGATGGAGAGAATTTATCTCAGGTCCTTTGGACATATTGTCAGGAAAGACCAGTCCCTAGAGGAGGACATTATGCTTGGTAAAGTAGAGGGCCAGCAAAAGAGGGGTAAGACTACTAAGATGGAGTGATACAGTGGCTGAAATAAGGAATCAAAAGCAACAAATGTAAGGATAGTGCAGTATTTCATTTTGTTGTGCAAGTGGTTCGAAGGGGTTGGAACTGACTGGATGTCCCCTAAGAACATTCAAGAAGAGTTGTTCAATTATAATGTGGTACCTGGTCATTTGATCTCCTCCCCCTTGACCCATTTTGGATTTGTTCTAGTTTTCAAATATTTCTTGCTTTTTTCCAGAAAGAGGTTTTTCCTCTGGTTTATTTTAATATTGTCATTAGTCTTTTCTTTCAAGAAAATATTTGCTGGATTTTGGTTTTTGTTTGTTGCACATCTATGCTTTCTAGTATATGAAGCACAGGATGGGCGGATGTATACAGACAATTGGTGTCATGGCATATCGGGGATGGGTGAGGTGATTGGAGGGAAGTGGGCACAAATAATGAATAAGGAGGGGATAGTATGTTCTAGAGCTGACTGTGGTGATATATATACAACTCTTGGTAAATATTACTCCAAAAATTAAGTTTATTGTGCCAACTAGGCCTCCATAGAACATATGGATGGAGTCTAATCAGATTGGAGGTTGATTGGATGGTGACTGAGATAAATATTCTCCATAGCTGGCATCCTTTCTCCCTAGTGATCGGACCAGTGTACAGCTGCTTGGAGCTAGTTCTTTGCCTCAACCGTGTGCTGCACTATCTGTGGGCCAAGCCAACCCATGGATCATATCTCTAGAGCTTGAGGCTCCTTTGAGACAAGGCCTGCTTTGCCACGCTGCTGACACACACGTCACTTGAGCTTGGTGTATCCTATGTGCAGCCCTTGAGTTCAGGGCCTGCTTCACTAAGCTCCTGTTTCACTAAGCTCCTGTGCTAACTGTTGTTGAGCCACCCTGCTGTCTTTTGCCTGCAGGCAGACTCTGCCTGTCTTGCCTGAGGGAAGACTCTGCTGTTTGCTTCTCTGACCTTGGACTGGCAGCTCCCATGAGTTGAAGGACTTTCAGTATATTAACTGTTCCATGAAAGTGAGTTGAACTGAGACCTCTGTACTGCTGTGTGGACTAATAAGCGGTTAAGTTCCTTCTCGCTGTACAAACCTATATATACCAGGACACTTAAGATTATATATATATGTGAGTGTGCATATACATAGATAAAGATTTTATGTGTGTGTGTGTGTGTATATATCCTGGTTTTGTTTCTCTAGAGAACCCTGCTTAACATATATGACTGAACTAAGGAAGTACATGATAAGTGATATATGTCTCAAACTATTTTGGGAAAAAATCCTGAAATTAAACAAAACAAGAGCTGATTCTAGTTCTACTCAAATTCTTCAGAAACATAGACAATGAAGAAACTCTAGGAAGCTTGCATTACTGTTGTTTTACAGTTACTGCAAAAAAACGGCAAGGGGTCAGTGTTTGACCTCAGGAGTTTGCAAGGGGTAAGAAAAATGAAACGCAAAATAATCCTAAATCAATGGTATGAGGTGGAGGTCAGACATGCTTCCACCCATTTCTCTTCTTTACCAATTCTGACGTCAACATACCTCCTCCAACACTGCTTCTGTGCTGGATAATTCATTGCCAAGACCAAACAGACATCACAGATGATACTCAAGATTGTGGAGTTCACTAGAGATATTAACAGATTACAATTCAGGGTCAGAAATGCTCAGGACACAGTTCTTCAGGCGATACCCTCCTCAGTCCTTGGTCTCTCAGCCATATTCCCTTTGCTTTCTCTCTGCCCGGGCAAATGTGTCTATGCTGATTAGGCACTGACTCTGCCAGTGAAGCCCTGTCCTAAGTGCACTCAGCGTCCGATCTGTGGGCTGGCAAATGTATGCCCTCTCACCTATTCTGTCTCATGCTCTTGATTCTGCTGCCTTTGCTTTTCGGCCACGTCTGATGTCACAGCTGTCTCCTGAATTGATAAGGTTCCGGATAGGGTGAGATTTTCCTTTTCATTTCCGAAACGCCTCCTTTTAAACATGGTAGCATGGCAAAATTAACAGTCATATTAGGATTTCATGTACCTCATTTGCATGGTCTCACTCCAAAGGGTGACAAGTACTTTATCTGCATTACTACCGTGTCATTCAAATCCCCTTGTTAGGCCACAAACACCTCATATTTTGCATAGTCCCAACCAGTAATTTGGTGGGAGTTATAAGACTATGGCTAGAAGAGCAATCTCAGGCAATTTAGTGCATTACAGTTACCTAGTGCGGCTATAACAGAAAGTTAGCTAGTGCAGCTCTAACAGAAATACTGCCAGGGAATGGCTTTAACAAACTCAATTTTCTGACAATTTAAGATGTTAAGATCAATTGTAGGGGATTAGCTGTCGTGATGGCATAGTGGCCACACAGTGGGTTGCTAACCAGGTCAGCTGCTCCTTGGAAGAAAGACAGAGATTTCTACTCACGTAAAGTTACAGTAAAACAAAACAAAACACCCCCAAGCCAATAATCAATCAATCGATCAATCAATCAATCGTGGATCTGCTTTACCCTGTGCAATAGCGTTGCTCAGTCAGAATTAGCTCAATGTCAGTGAGGTTTTTTGATTTTTAGTTTGGCAGTAGTGGAAAACTGTCAGCTCTGGTGGAAGGTGCTAGTCCTGTTTAGTTTCTGCTCCTGGTTGACCCTCCATGTCGTTTGGCCTTTCTTCCCCCAACTCGGCTTGCTAGCTTCATTGACTCTTTGAGGGACTCACTGAAGACACGGCCCACAAACCTTCTCATTAATATCACAAAGACAATTCATTCCATTCCAAAATGGCATTACAACCATAGGATTTAGAAACACAGTTTTGGGGTAATAAATGCAATCCATAATATTCCCAAACCTTTGCCATCACCCCCAAATTCATGTGTCTTGTCAGCAAGATACATTCACCTCATCACACCATCCAAAAAGTCTTTAACGCCAAGTCCAGAATTGCATCTTCTCTCTTTTAACACCCCGGCAGCGGTGGCCCCACACCTGGAGACCCAGAAGATTCTGCTTCCACACTTCTTCCAACAGTCTTGCTTCCAGTCCTGTTCTTCGAGAACAGACGCCGCTCCCTTGGTTTGCTCCCTGTCAGTAGACTTCCACGGGGTGACTGCCTTAGTTAGCTTTCATGTTCTGTCTCCTTCAGCCTCAGTTTCTTTCTTTTCTTTCTGTGGCCATTAGTTACATCAGTCACAAGTGTAACAAAAAGTGTAGCAATGTCCTTAGTGAACATTGAGACACGTGTCCTCAACTTGTACAATATAATTTTCCAAATCTTTGTATTGTTTTCATTTTGCAGAATTTATTTTTACGTTCATCTCTTACTTTTCATTTTACTATATATAAGCAAACCACGCAGCCCTGTTACTTTGCTTAGAAATTGCTCCTGCCAGAAATCCAAGTTCATCTCGTACAGAACGTTCTATCTTCTAGCAAACATTAGAACTGTAAGTCAGGTAAGTTCTTTGCCACTGCTTAATAAGCATCGTTCCTTCTCTATTCCCCAATCACATATGCATCATTTCCTCTTAAGGCTTCACTAGAAGCACAGTTACCACATACCTTTCTAGCAATACTCTAGCACCAAGACAGAAACTTTCTCTACTGCTCTTTTCGACTTCCTTTGAATCCCTCACGAGACTGCCTTTTTTTAAAAGAATCATTTTATTAGGGGCTCATACAACTCTTATCACAACCCATACACACATCAATTGTGTAAAGTGCATTTGTACATTCATTGCCCTCATCATTCTCAAAACATTTCCTCTCCACTTAAGCCCCCGGCATTAGGTCATTTTTCCCCTCCCTCCCCGCTCCCTCCTCCCTCATGAGCCCTTGATAGTTTATAAATTGTTATTTTGTCATATCTTGCCCTGTCCGACGTCTCCCTTCACCCACTTTTCTGTTGTCCGTCCCCCAGGGAGGAGGTCACACAGTTCCTTGTAATCGGTTCCCTCTTTCCTACCCACTCTCCCTTTACCCTCTCTGTTTCATCACTCACACCACTGGTCCTGTAGGGCTCATCTGCCCTGGATTCCCTGTATTTTCAGTTCCTATCTATACCAGTGTACATCCTCTGGTCTAGCCAGACTTGCAAGGTAGAATTCGCGTCATGGTAGTGGGAGCGGGGAGGAAACATTTAGGAACTAGAGAAAAGTTGTATTTTTCATCGTTGTTACATCGCACCCTGACTGGCTCATCTCCTCCCCGAGACCCTTCTGCAAGGGGATCTCCAGTGGCCTACTAATGGGCTTTGGGTTCCCACTCCGCACTCACCCCATCATTCACTATGGTAAGATTTTTTTGTTCTGATGATGCCTTATACCTGATCCCTTTGGCACCTCGTGATCACGCAGGCTGGTGTGCTTCTTCCATGTGGGCTTTGTTGCTTCTGAGCTTGATGGCTGCTTGATTACCTTCAAGCCTTTAAGACCCCAGACGCTATACTTTTGTTAGAGCAGAACCTCTCCTTCTAGGAACCCAATTTTTAGTAACCTAAGAAATACAAGTGGATGCTGTTAACAAAGAACTTGATTTTGTTTGGCTCGGGAGACTACCAGTTTGAATTCAGAGCATCGACTCCCGGAGAAGATCTTAGACTTTTGCTTCCTGACCCCTTGGAGAGTTCCAGGTGTCTTGGCTTATCTCTTAAGCACTCTCTTTCCCTCTGTTCACCTGTTTGACACCTTTTATACCTCAAAAGAGACTCAAGATATACCCCATCCTATACTTACCTCCCTAACATATGATAACTGGGATGCCAGGAAAGTGAAAACACTTTTTAATTGCATTTATATGCAATATCTAGATTAGGAGAATATGTAAGACAAATGAGATAAACAGGTTATGTTTAATAATTATGAACATTTATTAAGCACCAAGAGTACACTGCATTTGTTGCTATATAAAAACCTAATTATGGATATAGTAGCCCTGCCATTAAGCTTACAATCTAAAATGAAATAACTCAAATGGCTATTTTGGCAAATGGTTGAGGCGAGATAACATGTTATTTCTGGTGCATTGTTAGTAAGGCTTTGTGCATGACCCAAAGAATATTTTAACTATACCCAGACTTTTCCCCAAGTATATCAAATTGACTCGCTAAGAGGATGAGCACTTAGATATTAGGTCTAAAAAGAAAATAATTCTTTCAAATGGTCTTACAGGACTTCAAATAAAGAAATGCTTACTGGCAAGAGTTTTCCAGCAGCCTATGGGAGCTCTATTATCAGGAAATAGAGCGAATTTGTTTTTATTCCATTAATAACCTGCTAACTTCTACATTCTTTCCCATGCATAAGGGCTCTACTGATGTCTTTATCCTGGAAGAAAGTACTGTATCTAAAAAAACGACTCTAAAGTATTAAGGACCCAAGAAGTCAAACTTCTTTGATATAGTAATTCACATTTTAACAGAAGACCGAGTAGAGACAATAGTGGGACCTCTAGCTACAGATGCCTGACTATGTGAGATTTATGAGTAAAGCAATTGAGTTCAGTCCATGCATTATCAAGGTGATTAAGACTCTAAGTATAGCCAAAGACTTTGCTTTCTTGCTTTGTATTTCTAGTGTAGGGGTGAATTTAGCATCAAAAACCTATTCTATCCTATTTACCTAGATCCACAGTATAATACTTAATAACTATTTCCAATGTTCTCATTGCTGGTCACAGATGAGCTGGCAAAGGCACACTGAAGAAACTTGATTCTTACTGTTAGATGCAAAGACTGCTGTAAACTACTGAGCATACAGTCTTAAAACACATATTATTTTCAATCATTTCTGATCTTTGGATTCTAAAACAACACTGGAAAAATAATCTGTTTGAAAACAGAAATGGAATCTACTCGGTAAAGTGCACACATGATTTTTTTGGAAAATGCACACATATACGTACACATTTTAATGGCAGAGTGGTAGCACCCTGAGATTTCTTATGGCAGAACAACATTGCAGCCACTTTTTAAAAAACCAGAGCAATTTTCCTTGCAGGTGTCCATCTTGGTCATTTCCTTTTAAACTGGTAACGGCGGCAGCAACACTGCTTTTACGTGTTCATAAAGCCTGCACTGCCTAACAAGGTCATCCAGGGCAAACAATCCTGAAATTTCATAATACATTTTAGAATAAAGTAGCACTAATTAACTATTTTTGACCTAACATGAAGACTTTCAGCGTTCTTTTCCCAATTAAAAAATATCACTGATATCACTTGTAAAGGGGCTTCAAAAAGTTTATGGCAAAATGGAAATAAAGTAACAAAAATTTTAGTAAACTTTTTGAGGCCCCTTCACATTTATACTAAATAAAATCCACAACTAAGAGATCTAAAATAGACAACCTGAAACAGTTGTGAATCAACATCATGCTCTCTAATAAGATGACAGATACTCATTTCACTGCATTTCTATAAAACCAAACAGTTTAAATATAATCAACACTGATTATAATTAGATTTGAGTTTACAATTTTCAATCAATGCACTTGTCTTTGGTAGGTAGTGTACCAAACAGCTAGAATTCCTGATTAAAATATTTGTTTTTCTAAGGCAAGGCAAATTTGATTATGTATAAAGCATAGATATTAGCATGGGTTTAAAGGCAACGACCGATACATATACATACATTTTAAAAAGTGATGTATTCTAAACTACATAAAATTGAATCTCATGTCCTATTTTAAGTCTACATTTTTAACATTAAACTTAGATGCACATTTGCTGCAATACATTAAAAAATACTTCATTTGTCCAATATTGTAAAGTATACTGTATTTTCAAATACTAGGTATAAAATTTTTGCACAAAAATTTAAAAGGCATACTATTAATTAGCTATAACTATTGTTACGTATTTATAAAAAGGAAGTTTACAAGAAGAGCAAAATATAAAATGAAGGGTAATAATTATTGCATGTAACAAAAATGTAACAATATCAAGTAATTCTGAAAATGCTTGTTTCTTGTTTTACTAATTGCATGTCCATTTTGCAGCTATTAATTTGGTAAAAATGCTAAATTTGGGTAGGACTTATTTTTCTTAGTGTGATATTTTTGTTTTCCCTACCTTCTCCCAATAGCAGTTGGGAGTAATTTTCTTTTGACTGAAAATTTTAAATGTTTATATTGTTTTTTTTATCTGAACCATGTAAAAGCTGACTCCTTACTTTCATTTTACAAAGTTAATTTAATTTTTTGTATGTTAATTGAAATTTAATTATGATATTTTCTGTTAGCATGTTTCTAAGTTGATAATAATTAAGGCAAATTTTGATTTCAGTTATGTTTAACTATATCTGACCTTTTCCTTTTTTTATGAGAAAAAAAAAAAAAAGAAGAAAATCATTCATTTAAGTCCTCTTCAGTCTAAACTGTACTGAGATACAGCTTTAAATAAAGATAGGTAAGTCAAGCAACATTGTTGATTTCTTATCTCTGCACAGAAGGAACAAAGGAAAACCGAAGTAACTACTTCCTTCCTAAGGTCTCAGCTAGTTTCTTAAGCCTTTTCTTCAGCTCCAGTGGGAATTTCTCATAGCACTTCTTACAGACTGGCTTCATGTCAAACTCCACAAATTTATTCCTAAAGGGAAAAATTATACATTAAAAATTAGTGGCAATGTATTCAATGTAGACCTATAAACACATGAAGCAATTTTACTGAACTAAATAGTAAGTAAAATTTAGGTATGTACAGTAAATCATATTCTAAAACACCATTAGAAAACCTGAAACAATATACTTATTTAAAGTGAAGAGTCATCATTTTGAGATGTAAATGATTCTCTCTATTGGGGACAAAGTGATCTTAGGTAACAACTTAAATGAGGTAGCTTTGAGGTTCCATCTCTGCTAGTAGAAGATGATTTGCCTCTATCTCCATCAGATGATTTATATTAAATCATAAGGAGTTGCTTTGGTGGTATGATATAAAAAGTTGACAGGTAAGATATGAGAATGTTTTTTAATTGCTCCTAAAGAACACAATTCTAACCAAATTACCTAACTTCTTTGTAAAAACAAAAAACTAAAAACCACAGCAGTATACATTAACAATTTATTTGTATAACAGTTAATTTGTATATTGTATATACAATAATTTGTATATTGGAGAAAACAGCTTTTCAGATGGCTTCCAGATTACCTAAGTTGGATTTGCTATACTTTTGGAATTTTGGGTCTATAATTCTGAATTTAGTTTACACAGCTTCATAAACTGTTCATTTTCTGTGAAATTGTGTTTAGTAAACATTTGTTGAAAAAGTCTAATGGGATAGCCTGATCTAGGACAAAAATGATATAAAGTCTACTTATGTAAGTTTAGTATATTTTATATGTTAAAGTATATTAAATTTGAAGACTGTAAACCTCAAAATAATCTTAATAGAACAACGTTACAAACAGTTAATTCTGAAGGGCATATTTATGATGAAAGGAAATGGGAATTCTTTCCAGTAGAGACCTAAGACAGATGAGGTTGTCTTGACCCTGTCAAGACCGACAGGCTCAGGAACTCTGGGGAATGGTTCTACTGTGCGCTGCAGGGCTGCATTGAATGGCGCTCAGGAACTCTGGGGATGGTTCTACTGTGCGCTGCAGGGCCGCATTGAATGAAAGCTGACCGGATGGCAGTGGGCTTGGTTGGGGAGAATACTGGTAGTAATTTCAAGTGCTTCACGGAGGTGTTTGGTGTAATAACACTACTGAGTAAAAGATTTCTTCCAAAAATCTTAGACCAAAAGCTACCAAAACTGTCATTGTTTTGACAAATTACCACTGCTTTCAGAGAATCTGCTTAGTTTTAATTTTGTATTTAAATTTTAGCTCTTACTAATAGGAAACAGAAACAGTTAACAACTAAAAAAAAAAAAAGTAATCAGAACACAATGGTAACCATGTGGGGGGAAAAGAAAAATCATAATAGTAATTCAACAAAATTTCCAAGATTGAAATACTTCCTTTACAAACTGAGACGTGAAGAACTGGATTGTGACCAGCTACTGTTACTGATCACTTTGATCAAAGTTTCCTTAGAAGAATCCTCATAAAAAAGTGAGAAACGCAGGGCAGAATTTAAAATGCTCCTGCATTCCAGATTTTCTGGAACCCTGAAGGTGGAATGAATCCCTCAAATTAGTGCCCTGAGATAATCTTTACACTGGAAAATCAAAATATCTCCTGAAGTCTTTTAAAGACCAAACTTACCTAGTAAAAACTTGTCTGCCACAAGTATTATGCCCTTTAAAAAACTACATCAGCTCAGTCTGACAGCAGCCACTTGACAGACTGGGCAAGACCCTAAGGGGACAGTGAGTCCCCAGTCACTGGGTGAGCAATCGCTCAGAGAGGAGAATGAGGACGGTTGCAAAACTCGGAGAATGAAATCAAAGCCACTGAATTCTAAACACAGGAACTCTTAGACTGGCTTCTATTTTGCTGTGCATATTCTCAATAACAAATTAAATTAAAATAGAGTTTGAAGGCATCAGAGAATGAATTCATGAACTGTATGTAGTACCATACAAGCATTTTACAAAATCACATACATCAAAGAGTGTAGATACCACACTAAAGTGGACGTATTTTTTATTTTTATAAATCGTTTTATCAGGGGCTCATACAACTCTTATCACAATCCATACACACATCAATTGTGTAAAGCACATTTGTACATTCATTGCCCTCATCATTCTCAAAACATTTCCTTTCCACTTAAGCCCCCGGCATTAGGTCCTCATTTTTCCCCTCCCTTCCCGCTCCCCCCTCCCTCATGAGCCCTTGATAATTTATAAATTGTTATTTTGTCATATCTTGCCCTGTCCGACGTCTCCCTTCACCCAGTTTTCTGTTGTCCGCCTTCCAAGGAGGAGGTCACATGTAGATCCTTGTAATCAGTTCCCCCTTTCCAACCCACTCTCCCTCTACCCTCCCAGTATCGCCACTCACACCACTGATTATTTTTATTTTTTTACTAAAGAGGATTTAGTATGATACCTGGTATTTATCAATTAAATGATTTTATACAAAGAAGAGCATGTTTAAAGCTCTAGTTATCAAATAAAAATACTAAAATCAAGACTCAATTGACGTCTCCCACTAGTGTAAGCTCCTACTTAAGGGACGTTAGCATTATCTTTTCCAACTTTTACTGGTAGTTCAATTTTTTTCTTCCTTTCATTTATAACTTTAAACAATTTGTCACCATCTCCTAAGGGATTGGCGTCCTTCCTCTGACTTAAAGAAGAAGCAGAAGGACGTCTGCGCTGCGCTGTGGCGGACAAAGAACGAAAGGGAGACCCGACAGACTAGCCCTACAACGCCTGGATTTTTAATTCCAGGGGAAAACGTTTTTTGATTTTATTCTTTAGTTTCATAGTTATCAATATTTATCTTAATATATACAGCTAATTAACTGTGACGAAAACATCGTGCTCGGCGTTATAGGGTTAAGGAAAATATTGGAAGCATAATCTGATGGAAGGGTGGAACTTACTCACTTATGCAATTTTCATAATTATGCAAAAAGACCACCTCTGGAGATGACAAGGACTTGTATTTCAATCTCTGGTAGCTACAAACACATGCAAAAACCCCGGAAATAAACATGAGACAGAAAGAAGACAAACATGCCAAAGGACTAACCAAAGAAGAAAGTAGTGAAAACGATGACAGAAGGGATAGAAAAGTTTACAAACAGACTGGCTTTTTCTTTTTCTGCTTGTCTTTATCCTTTGCTTCTCTCTCCCGCTTGGCAAGCCTCCTCTTAAATTCTTCTGGCATTTTCTCATAACAGTGCTTGCAGACTGGCTTTAGATCAATTTCAACAAACTTATCCCTTTGAGTAGGATAAAGAAATAGAGGAGAGAACAGGGAATGATTAAAGGAGGTACCTGTACTTTCAGAAGGTCTGAACAGAAAGGTAACATAAGGAATTACCTAATTTCCTTTATAATAAATCCTATGTGTATTAAAAACAAAACAAGCCCCGAGTTTCCAGTCCTAGGAGTCATGCAAAACCAAAGTGCAGAACTTACTTGAGTGTTAATTTAGTGTTGCAGGTAGAACAGGCAAAACAATTCACGCACCAGGCTTTATTCAGTGCAGAAACCACTGGAGAAAGAACAAAGAGATTTGATCAGATGGAAATGCACTGGTACCAGAAGGGTTGGGGAGACTTAACATGCTTAACCCTAAAACAAAGCTAAAGCCGTTTCCATGACACCGGGAAGACATTTTCAAAAGGCTTTCTAGAAAACAGATTACATAACTGAAAAGCTATGTACTATCAATTAAGTGATATTTATTGATTCCATCAATTTTACTAATGATGTTCTTTTTTAATAATTAAAAGAGGCATAGAAACAGAACACTTAATTTATGTCTCCCATGAGTGTAAACACCTACTTAGGAAAAGTTGTCATTCTATTTTTCTTTTATTTTGTTATTTATTTATCATTATCTTTTCAACCTTTACTCATAGTTCAATTTTTCTTTTCTTTTGAATATCCTGGGAGGACTATAAATGGTATATGCCATGTCTTTTCATCCAAGGGTGTGTCTTCTCAATGCTTTGGGTGAGGGCGTGTATGTTTAGCACCTATTAGGTTACGTGGATTAGCTTTCCTGGCACAGGGCTTGCCTACCAGAGCACTTTCCGCAATGTTTCTATTGCCACTTGGCCAACAAAGAGACGTGAACAAAATGTTAAAAACCCAGTCATGGGTTATTTGCTTATCAAAGTCTTTCTTCCAAAGCTGACCATAAGAAATTACCTTCCTGGGAGGATGGAGCATTAGAACTGATTGTGATGATGTATAGACAACTCTTTTACAAAACGTTTTAACTATGGAAATGTGTGATATGTGAATATTCTATCAAGAAAAGTACTTAAAAACAAAAAGAAACCAAGCTTGACCTATAGTTAGCATTGATGAAGGAGCAAAAGGTTTTGCTTAGGGGCCATTGAGTTTATTTTAATGGTGATGGAACAATTTGAAAAGGGTTCTCAATAATGGTTGGATACAAACACAAACATGGTTGTACACCATGAAGGATAAATCAATGACACTGAAATACACATGCAGATGCTATTGAATTGGAGAATGTTTTGCTGTGTATATTTTTCCCCAAATTGAAAAAAATAACTACAGGAATAACAATGAGTACAATGAGTACAACAAAGAAGACAATGTTCTAAAGGTGATTGTGGTAAAGACTGTACAGCCACTCTTTAATATAATTGAACCATTGAATTGTATGGTATGTGGATGAAGGGCCAATAAAACTGTTAAAAAAACTACCTTCCAGGGAGGGCGGCATAGGGAGGGAGGGGGAAAAATGAGCAGGTGATATTAAGGGCTCAAGTACAAGGCAAATGTTTTGAGAATGATGATGGCAACAAATGCACATGTGTGCTTGACACAATGGATGGATGCATGGATTTTGATAGGAATTGTACGAGCCCCCAATAAAATGATTTTTAAAAATCAATTACCTTCCTCTCACATTTTCTTTTACCTGGCAACAATCTGTCCCATGCAGGGGTTGTTTCCTTTCCAGCGGCACTGAAAACTACTGCCTTCCTGAACTAGCCCTTTTGCAACTGCATAGAGGGAATGTTTCAGAAAAGTATTTCCTGAGCTCGGTGCTATCTGCTGAGAACTATAAAGCTTGCTGAAAACAGGAATGCTTAAAACGGTGCCAAGAAGTTTCCGGGAGATCTGTGTTTGCCACCATTTGCGAACACAGCTGTTTCCTCTCTGTTCTAGTTAATCAGCCCTGCCTAATAATCACAGGACATGGGCGATAAGCACTAGAAATGTCTACATAGTTGCCAGGTTTTAGTACCTACAAGGCTAAGGTTACTCTTCCTAACTTCCAAGCAGCTTAAACTGTTCCTAATAAGCACTGCCCTATGTTAAGTTCCAAGGTATCTATGTAATTCCAGGAACCAGCCATAGAAACTGGTCTCAGGTTCTGCCAGGACACAATCTGTGGGAACAGTTAAGTCAATTCCGAGCATAAGAGCCGTGGGTGGCAGAGGAGACTCCATACAGCAAACAGTCTGGGGCTTTGGTGGTAGTAACCCCAACTGGGAGTCTCAGGCGCCTTGGTGGCATAGGGGGCTGAGTGCCACAGCCTGGTTCCTGTCATAATCCATGCCTGGGAACCCTTGGTAATCATGTGAAAGAAATGCGGCATCATACGTGGTCCTGCCTTCTGGGTCAAGTCTTAGATGAAACTTGAAAACAAAGTAATGCTCGATTAGAGATGAATGTATTACCTACCAGAAATCAAGAACAAATTCAACTCTTAAGATAGGATCATCTCACTACTTTATATTAGTTGGGAAATATGCCAAAGAAAAAGAAGAGGTAACTCATTATCAGTTACCTTTTCTTTTTCTTCGGCATATTCAATCATAAGATTGAACTATGGAATGTATGCTATGTGAATGATAAGCCAGTGAAAAATTTAAAAATAATAAGATAAAAAGAAAAATCAACAATCATCAACTTTTTCCAGTTTCACATTACCCATATTTTTTTGTATTGCAATGATGTCCTATAGAATCCAGAGATACTTACCATCACCTTCAATGACACGGTTACAGTGGAAACAGACATCACCAAAGAGCTGAAATGAAAAGAAAACACGTGGACTGTAGAACATCAAACATTTCATGTAAGTTCAGTTCTTTTTCTCACTTGAAAACATATAGCGGGCTATTTAAAACCAGAATTTACCATGAGTAAAATAATAAAATTGGCCAAGCTCAATGAATAGTTTTTTCATTCTCACAGTGAAATACTTTATTTCTTATCAATTTAAAAACAAATCTATCTTGAGATTATTTTGGGAACTAAAATAGTGTTGGTGAACTATAAGCTGTTGAAAAACATAAGCACTTGAGAGTTCATGATGTTAAAAAATTAACAATACGGTACACACATATAGAATGCCAAGGGTCAAACTAAGAGCAGAGGTAATTCAAGAACCACAAAAATACTCCACAAGTAGCTCCAGCAAGATTTATTAGTGGTGCTAAATCGGGAGGAGGGCTTGATAAGGAACGGGATGATTGGCTTAGTCTTAAAATGACCGCGCACATATTGCTCATTAGTTGCAAGGGACAGAAGGAAATAGTAATGAGAGAGTGGTAATCAGATAGTATTTTGACTGGGATGAAGGACAGACAGGCAAGTGTGTGTCTCCAGATATGCATGCTGAACATAACCTCACCTACACAACACTGCAGCATGGAAAACGCACAGCCTCAATCTAATCATGACAACGATATGGTTTAAAACATGTCAAAGGTTCTGGAAATGGTCTAGTTTAAAGGTGGCTAAAGGGGCATGATTATAGATTGATCCAGTAACAGCGCAGGAAAAAATAAAAATAAAAATGCTCTAAGGACAGTACTAAGACAGGTGGAAAAGTCAGAATAACAAGAGACTACAGAATTGCATCAGTACTGATAACTGTACTACGTTATGAAAGAGCACAGGCATCCAACTTCTTAGGAGAGACACACTGAAGTACTTAGGGGTACAAGGCCATGATGCACGTGTTACATTGGATAATTTACTAGCAAGTGCTTCCGGGAAAACAAACCAACAAGTATAAAATACACATGCATGTATGCCTGTGCTTTTACGCAGAGCAGTTATATACATACAAAGGAGGAGGCAGATCTAAGTAAAATTAGAATTTAAAAATTTTATTTTGCAACTTATTTTTGAGTGAGAAATTATTCCCAAATAAAAAGTTTAGAAACAAATTCTGAAAGACCAAGGCACATTTCCTGAGAGATTTTCTTTTAAGTTAAAATATTCAGAAACTCAAATCCACAAAGCTTATCTAGGATCCGAAGGGTGCAATCAGTACCTGGTTATAGTGAGTTTCACAATACGCCAGGCCCTTCCTCTCATAATGGCGATGTCCAAGAAATGGCTTTTCACACTTGGCACAAACAAAATGCTGGAAGGAAATTGTGATAGGTCAATTCTGAACTGTAACATTTTATTTATCTAATGAAGTAAAACCCTAAAACTGAAATATTCTTAAAAAGATAAGTAGAGGCAGGCATCTCATTTGGCCACAGGTAACCCCTCTAATACTTTTGCAAACAGTCTTGATTCAGGCGTCTCTGAGTCTCTGATTGGCCAAACAAAACAGAATAGAACGGAGGGACTGTAACTGGAAATGGACCATAATACTCTCTACCTTAATTGTGACTTAGCAATATAAGTACACATCAGGTATCATTCCTGAGAGATCGTAAAAGCGAATATAAAGTCTATGTAATTTTTAACAAAATGGATTCCTTTAGAATGTTGACATTTAACCTTTAGGATATCCTAATCTCGTTAGCACACCTGGACCATGAAGGGAGGTGGAAAGATTCGATTATCTCTTCATTCTAGTTTCCCATATCTTTCTGAAGCTCCCTTGTGTATCCTTGGGTGGGTGAAACTGTTGAAGAAACTAACTGCCACCCTAAACGCTGGCAGTTCAAACCTACCAGTTGTACCTGGAAGGCAGGCCTGGCAGTTCAAACCTACCAGTTGTACCTGGAAGGCAGGCCTGGCAGTTCAAACC